TATCGTATTTTTTCGCCCTTTTTGGTCACTTTTTGTTTTCTCTGGTGGTTTTTTATCGGTTTTTTGTCTCATTTTTGTTTTTTTTTGTCTTTTTTGTTTCCTTTTTCTTTTTTTGCTTCACTTTGTTTTTGTTAAATTTTTTACCCACTTCTTTTTGGATTTTTTTTAATCGCATTGTTTTGGTCCTTTCTTCAATGCCCTTTAATGCATGTTTTTTGACTCTTTTTTGTCACCCTAATTTTTGAATTTTGCACGTTTTTTGTCGTTTTTTTGCCTTTGTTTGTTGTTTTGTGTTGGCTGCTTATTTTTGGCCCTCTTTTTTAGTGATTTTTATCGTCTTTTTGTTGCTTTTTGTCTCTCTTGTCGCCTTTATTTCTCTCTTTGTTGTGTCTTTATTTTCCTAGTTTTTTCGCTCTTTTAATGTAGCTGCTTTTATGACCGATTTTCTCGCTTTTTTGGGTGTTTTTAAGCCTTTTTCAATCGCTTTTTTGTGGCATATTTGTTTTTTCTCGTCTTTTTTTTGTCATTTTTTTGTTTGTTTTTCTAGTTATTTTTATTGCTTTTTTGGCCTCTTTTTAAACGCGTTTTGCCCTTTTTTTAGTTGTCTTTCTTTCGCCATTTTTGTTTTTTTTCGTTTTTTTCTCATATTTTTATCGCATTTTCGTTTTTGTCACTTTTTTGCTTCTTTTAGTTCTTTTTGTCTCTTTTCTATTTTTGTCTCACTTATGTTTATTCAATTTTTTTGGCTCCTTTTTTTGCCTTTTTTTTCTGGATTGGTAATCACTTTTTTTTGTCTTTGTTTTTATTACCCTAATTTTTTTGTGGATTTTTTCACTAGTCATTTTTTTATAACATTTTCCCTCATTTTTTATAGCATTTTCCCTCTTTTTTTCGCTTGTTTTGGCCTTCTTTTATCGTATTTTTTCGCCCTTTTTGGTCACTTTTGTTTTCTCTGGCGGTTTTTTTATCTTTTTTTTTGGTCACATTTTTTCGTTTTTGCCACATTTTTGCCTTTTTTATCGTCTTTTTTGTTGCTTTTTATCTCTCTTGTCGCCTTTATTTCTCTCTTTGTTGTATCTTTCTTTTCCTAGTTTTTTTCGCTCTTTTATGACCGCTTTTCTCGCTTTTTTGTTGCATATTTGTTTTTTCTCGTCTTTTTTTGGTCATTTTTTTGTTTGTTTTTCTAGTTATTTTTATTGCTTTTTGGCCTTCTTTTTAGTTGTCTTTCTTTCACCATTTTTGTTTTTTTGCGATTTTTTTTAATGGTTTTTTTGTCACATTTTTATCGCATTTTTGTTTTGGTCACTATTTTGCTTTTTTAGTTCTTTTTGTCTCTTTTCTTTTTTTGCCTCACTATGTTTCTTCAATTTTTTTGGTTCCTTTTTTTGCCTTTTTTTCGTTTTTTTTTATCGCGTATTTTGACCTTTTTAAACCACTTTTTTAATGACTGCTTTTTTGGCGATTTTTATAGCCTACTTTTTACATTTTGAACTCCATTTTTTTATTTTTGTGACATTTTTGCATTTTTTAGTCTTTATTGTCAACTTTTTTTCTTTTTTTGGTGTCACTTTGTTTTTGCCAAATATTTTTACACACTTTTTTTACCTTTTTTATTCGATTTTTATTTTAAATCGCATTGTTATGGTCTTTTTTCTAAGGCCTTTAATTCTGTATTTTTTGTGCCTTTTTAATTTACTTTTTTTTTAATTTTTTACACGTTTTTTTGTCATTTTTTTGCCTTTGTTGTTTTATCTTGGTTGCCCTTTTTTGGTGCAATTTTCAATAGTTTTTTTTGTGGTCGCTTTTTTTTTGTTGAATTTTTTGTCGTCCTTTGGTATCTTTTTTTTAGTTTTTGTCTTTTGTCGCCTTTTTTGTTTGTTCTTTTAAGTTTCAGTCTATTTTTTGGACGTTTTTTGTCCCTTCTTTTATGGTCTGTTTTTAATCACTTTTTCCCTGCTTTCTTTATTTCTTATATTTATATCGCATTTTTTGCCTGTTTTTTAAAGGTGCTTTTGTCATTTTTGATACATTTTGTAATCCGTTTTTTTGACACTTTTTTTTAATCACGTTTTTACTTCCCGAGCGTAAGCAAAGGAAGTATTGTAATCGAGTCCGTCGGCCGACTCTCTACTTTTACGTTTTCTCGATCTTTCATGACCCCTAGAAGACGAAGAAATAGGTCTCCCATTTCCGTCTGTCTGTCCGTCTGTCCGTCTGTCCGTCCGTCTGTCCGTCTGTCCGTCTGTCCGTCTGTCCGTCTGTCCGTCCGTCTGTCCGTCTGTTGTCCCGGATTTTTATTAGACAGATAATCTCCGAAAGTACTCGACCGATTGTTGTGAAATTTTGTACTTATATTAAGAATATCATGTAGATGGTAAAACGCTAACCAAAATTTGTCTAATCATCCCCACCACTAATGCGATGACGTCACTTCAAAATTGTACATAGTAAATGGGTTTTCAATTGTATAAAATAACATAGTCCTACACATTTAGTTTACAACTCTGAATCGACTTTTCACCCGAAACGTCCAGATTTTTGAAAAAAAAATCAAAATTATAAAACAACATTTTGAAATTTAATTTTTAATCTGCTAACCAGAATGCTTTGAAATGTTGCAGATGTTTTAAGGCTATAAAGAGCATCATAAATCTTTAGTCAAAAAATATTTGCTTATCCCCTCCAAAAACTTGATGACGTCAGCTCAAAAGTTTGTGGAATAAATCATATCTAAAATGTACAAAATATGATGAGTCTGTACTTGTGATCTATCACTCCATTCATATTTTTTGGATTTGCATATACAGGGTGACTCAAAAAAATTAATGAATGCGTAAATATATTTTATTGATTTAATCAGGAACTACAAAACCGAATGCTCTGAAATCTTGCAGATGTTTTAAGGTCATAAAGAGCATAATAAATGTTTAGTCAAAATATATTTGCTTATCCCCTCCAAAAACTTGATGACGTCAGCTCGAAAGTTTGCCGAATAAATCATATCTAAAATGTACAAAATATGATGAGCCTGTACTTGTCATTTATCACTCCATTCATATTTTTTGGATTTGCATATACAGAGTGACTCAAAAAAATTAATGAATGCGTAAATATATTTTATTGATTTAATCAGGAACTACAAAACGGAATGCTCTGACATCTTGCAGATGTTTTAAGGTTATAAAGAGCATAATAAATGTTTAGTCAAAATATATTTGCTTATCCCCTCCAAAAACTTGATGACGTCAGCTCGAAAATTTGCCGAATAAATCATATCTAAAATGTACAAAATATGATCAGTCTGTACTTGTGATCTATCACTCCATTCATATTTTTTGGATTTGCATATACAGGGTGATTCAAGAAAATAAATGAAAGCGTAAATTTACTTTACTCACACACACAATAGGCATGCAGTCGTCAAGTTTCCGACAGCGAGGGAAGTACTGTCTAAACTCTTTAGACCAATTTTTTGTCCTTGTTTTTACCGTCCTTATTATTTTTGTAGCTTTTTTCGCTAGTCATTTTTTATGACATTTTCCCTTATTTTTTGTTCGTTTTTTTATATCCTTTTTTTATCTTATTTTTTCAATCGCGTTTTTTTTTGGTCCTTTTTATAGCCTTTTTTGTAGTTATTGTCTCCTTTTCTGTCGCTTTTTTATTCCTTTTTTTGTTGCGTTTTTCTTAGCTACGGTTTTTTGTGATTGCTTTATTTTGTTGCATTTTTTCCCTCTTTTTTTCCTTTTTGTCGCCCTTTTCTTTGTCTCATTTTTGTCTCTTTTTTTATCCATTTTTTTTCTCTTTTTTTTGTCCTTTTTTTCCCCCTTTTTTTGGTGTTTATTAAGTTTTTTCTTTTGTTGTTTGTTTTGGCCTTTTTTTAGTGGTCTTTTTTTTCGCCATTTTTGTTTTTTCTTTTCGATTTTTTTTAATCATTTTTTGTCACATTTTTTATCCCATTTTTTGTTTAAGTCACATTTTTCCTTTTTTGGTCCTTTTTGTCCCTTTGTATTCTTTTTTGTCACACTTCGTTTTTGTTGACCGCTTTTTCAATTTTTTAAATCTCGTATTTTGAGCTTTTTTTTATCGACTGTTTTGGTCACTCTTTGTTTTTTTTTTTGGCGGTTTGTTTTTCAACATTTGTGACGTTTTTCGCGTTTTTTAGTCTTTATTGTCCCATTTTTCCTTTCTTTGTGTCACTTTGTCTTTCTCAATTTTTTTTTTGCCTTTTTTTTCAATTTTTTTAATCGCATTGTTTTGGTCCTTTTTTTAATGCTCTTATTTCTGCATTTTTGGTCGTTGTTTTTTCAGCTTTTTTTGTGTCATCTTTTTTGTTGCATTTCTTCCTAATCTTCAACCCTTTTTTTTGATTGCTTTTTTTTGACATTTTTTTCGATCATTTTTTTTATCCCTTTTTTTATCGCCCTAATTTTTGAATTTTTCACACGTTTTTTGTCGGTTTTTTACTTTTTTTTTGTTGTTTTGTGTTGGATGCCTTTTTTTGGTGCATTTTTTTATACTTGTGTTTTTCTTTGTGGTTGAGTTTTGTATTTCATTTTTTGTTCCTCTTTTTTTTAAGCGATTTTTGTCGTCTTTTTTGTTGCTTTTTATCTCTTTCTTTCCTGTCGCCTTTTTTGTCGCTTTTTTTGTAATTTCGTTTTGCGGTTTTTATTTCTCTTTTTATTGTCTGTTGTTTTCTAGTTTATTTGTTCGGTTTTTTTATGTAGTTCTTTTATATTCACTGCTTTTCTTGCTTTTTTGGCGGTTTTTAAGCCTCTTAGTTGTACATTTGTTTTTTCTCGTCTTTTTTTGTCTCTTTTTGCCATTTTTTTGTTTTTTTTGGCTTCTCTTTAAACGCGTTTTGACCTTTTTTGCTTTTTTTTATTTCTTTTTTGATGCCTTCCTTGTTTTTAATCACAATTTTCGGTAAATTTTTTTGAGCTTTTTGTGTAGCTTTTTTATCTGTTTTTTTTTTGTCATTAGCTCAGTAGTAATAATCTAAACACATATTTCTATTATTTATTAAATTAAATAACACATCACCCCATCCCCTAAAACTGGTCCGCCCCCAACAGCCTCACGATCTCCTCGTACGTCAACCAGAACACCAGCGACCACGGCGCCAGCCTCATCCAAATGGGCACGAACCCCTTGTACAAGGCCATACCGCCCTCGTTCACCACCGTCTTCTTCACACAGTCGACCGTCCCGGCATACAGCAACCCCCGCCCCTTTTCGTCCAGCGGCTGGTTCATAATCCTCGTCTTAAGCACATCCGGGGGAGTCCCCAGCACCGCCGCCGCAAAGCCCGCGCACACACTAGCCATCGTGTGCACGACATGGTTATCCGGCAGCGACGTGTGCTCCAGGATAAACCTCTTGGAGACGTCGTACACGGTCACGTCCCCCAGAGTGACCATAGCGGCCCTCTGGATATTCGGAACCGATCCCTTCCACAGCCCCGTGTACCCCGCGGCGGCGACGGTCTTCTTGTAGGCGTCGTAGAAGCCGTGCACACGTGGGGGAAGCCCTTGGGAGAAATTCTTACTTTACTTTTAACTTGGGTTTGGAGTAGGGTGGTGAGGTACCTTTGAGGCGGCGCTTGCCTTCCATTTGTAGCTGCACGCGGATGAGGTCCGCAGGGCTGGCGATGTACTGGGAGATGACTCCAGCGGAGATCCCACACGTGACGGACTTCCAGAAGGGGAAGGGGTCGTTTTTGCCTACCTCGAAGAATTTTTCTTTGAGGGACTTGTAGACGACGATGCGGGTGCCTGAGTAGATGAGGTGGCGCACGAAGATGGCTGAGATGCCTTGCCATAGCTTGAAGAAGCCCTCTTCGGAGCCGATGCCCACGCCGGTCTTGAGGAAGCCCCTGTAGGGGCCTTTGATGAGTTTTTCTTCTTTGATGTTGGCGAGCTCGCCCTGGATTTGCATACGGGTTTTGACTAGGTCCAGGGGGTAGGTTACTACAAGAGAAAAAGTGATCTATAAAAGGTTACCTGTGTCGAAATTACGTAATTCCACAAATGAAACAGAGTGTGTTTTTTAATAAAACATATTTACTTAGTTCTGCGTTCCATGCAGATGCCACTGACACTATGTAAATAAACCATAACGAATTCACGATTTTCTTCTCATTCTTCTCGGAGTTGGAGCTCATTGTTACTTAATGAATGTCATCACGGCGAGCCACACTTTTAACGAACGCAAGGTGATTCGGTAAACATTTTGTCGCTACTGTGTGGCGAAAATTCGACGAATTATCATCACGACGGTTCAAGATGGAATTGATTTATTTGATTGATGTTAACTGGCAATGTCAACATGGCAATTTGAGTGTCCACACAAACCTAACCTCAAAAATGACCTGAGATTAACCACGCCAGACTGATGAATTGAGGTCGGGAGGTTAAAAGTAGATTCGTCGGTTGTTTATTTAGTGTAGCTTGCGTTATCGCTCTAAAGTAAATAACGACAAAGTAATTGATAAGAGTTTACTTTAATCAGCGCTAATGACGTGTCTAAAAATGTGCACGTGTTTGCAATTTTCCCATTGAAATTTTCTCTTTAAATTTGTATTATATTGTAATGTTTTTTTAAGGAAATATAAATTTTAGTAAAATTTAAATGCAAATACGCCTCCGGCATGAGATTTTACCTGCTACTGACACAGCGTCATTGTGGCATTTTTATTTGTCGCTTTTTGCCTTTTTGTTTTTTGTTGTCTGTTTTTAGTCGCTTTGTTTGTATTGTATTTTTGTCATCCTTTTTTTTTGTCTTTTGGTTTGGTTTTTTTGTCTCTTCTTGCCAACTTATTCTGCCGCCCTTTCGTTTGTCGCCTTTTTTGTTTAATCTTTTTTTTGTACGTTTTTCGTTTTTTTGGTTGTTTTTTAAAATAACTTTTGGGTCATTTTATTTTTGCCACGTTGTGCCTCTTTTTGGGCTTTTTCCGCTTTCTTACTGGCGTTGTTTGGTCCTTTTTGATTGCAATTATTTTGTTTTTTTTATCGCTGTTGTCCCTTTTTTTATCTTTTTTCGAATTTCGTGGTGTCTTTAATTTTTTGTCTCTCTTCTTTTTGACGTTTTTTTGTCACTTTTTTATGACGTGTTTTTTCCCAATTTTTAACGCTCAGTTTTTCGTGCAATTTTTTTACTAGATTTGTTTTTTTTTTATTTTTCTGCCACTTTGTTTTTGTCACATTTTTTGCTCGCTTTTTTGCCATTTTTTTAATTTTGTAATCACCTCTTTATGCCCTTATTTTATGGTCTTTTTTGTCGTTTTTTGGTCCTTTTTGTCGTCTTTTTTATTATTGTCTCCATTTTTGTCGCTTTTTTATTTATTTCTTTTGTTACGTTTTTCTTAACTGGGTTTTTGTCGTAGTTTTTTTTTTATATATCTTTGTCTTCCTTTTTTGCCTTTTTTGGTCCTTTCCTTTGCCCCATATTTGTCTCCGTTTTTTGTCTCATTTTTGTCCCTTTCCCTCCTTTTTGGTGTTTATTATGTTTTTTTCGCCCTTTTTTTGGTGTATTTATTTTTTTAGCATTTTTTAATGCTTTTTTTGTCACATTGTTTTTCGCATTTTTTCGATTTTGTCACTATTTTGCCATATTTAGTGCTTTTTTTGTAATTTTTTGTCTCACTTTGTTTTTGTCATTTTTTGACAGCTTTTTTTGCCTTTTTTCGATTTTTTTATCTCCTGTTTTGTTTTTTTTAATAGACTTTTTGGACACTGTTTTTTTTTGTAATTTTTAGCATCTTTTTTTGTCATTTTTTATCCATTTTTTGACCTTTTTGTCACTGTTTTAGCATTTTTTGTCCCTTTCCCCCTTTTTTGGTGTTTATTATGTTTTCTTCGCCCTGTTTTGGTCAGTCTTTATTTTTTTAGCATTTTTTAATGCTTTTTTTGTCACATTGTTTTTCGCATTTTTTCGATTTTGTCACTATTTTGCCATATTTAATACTTTTTTGTCATTTTTTGTCTCACTTTGTTTTTGTCATTTTTAGACAGCTTTTTTGCCTTTTTTCGATATTTTAGCTCGTGTTTTGGCTTTTTTAATAGACTTTTTTTGGACACTGTTTTTTTTTGTAATTTTTAGCATCCTTTTTTTTGCCATTTTTTTTCCATTTTTTGATCTTTTTTGTCACTTTTTTTGCATTTTTTTTGTTGGTTGTTTTTCATCCTCTTTTTTGCCTTTAGTTTTGCGTTTTGTCTCTTTTTGTTTTTTTTCCTATTTTTTTGTTGCTATTGTCCCTTTTTTGCAGCTTTTTAATATCTTTTTTGTTGCGCTTTTTTTAATTGCGTTTTTTCATGGTCGTTTTTTTGTTGCATTTTTTGTCTTTTTTTGAAATCGCCTATTTGTGTCCCCTTCATTCATTTTTGTCGTTTTTTTGTTTTTTTATCGCACTTATTTTGTGTTTTTTTATCATTTCTTCTTGATTTTTTTCCCATTCTTACCTTTTTTTTATTCTGTCTCTTTAGTCGCTCTTTTATTTGTCGCCTTTTTTTTTGCTTTTTTAAAATATTTTTTTCGCCCTTTCGTCTTGTTTTTTAATTTTTTGTCGCTCTTTTTTTTGACGTTTTTTGTCGCTTCTTTATGACGGATTTTGGCCCGTTCTTAGACATCTTTTTTCTTCCATTTTTTAGCGCTAAGTTTTTTCTTGATTTCTTTTCCTTTTTTTTGAAATTTTTGTGTTATTTTGTTTTTGTCACATTTTTTTGAACGCCTTTTCTCCCATTTTTTTTCGATTTTGTAATCACGTCTTTTTGTCCTTTTTATGGCCCTTATTGTTTTTTGGCTTTTTACACTCGTCATTTTTTATTACATCTTTTCCCATTTTTGGTCGCTAATTTTATCGTCTTTTTTTGTCGTTTTTGGTCCTTTTTGTCGTCTTTTTCTGTCGCTTTTTTATTTATTTTTTATTGCGTTTTTTGGCTGCGTTTTTTTGTGGTTGTTTTTTTGTTTCATTTCTTTTGTCTTCCTTTTTTGCCTTTTCTTTTGTTCCATTTTTGTCTCCCTTCTTTTGTCTCATTTTTCTTTCCTTTTTTGTCCTTTTCCATCTTTTTGTTGTTTGGACCCTATTTTAATAGTATTTTTCGCCCTTTTTTGGACAGTCTTTGTTTTTTCTGGCAATTTATGTATGCTTTTTTGTCACATTTTTATCGCATTTTTTCGTTTGTCACTTTTTTGTTATATTTAGTATTTTTTGTCTTTTTTTTTCTCGCTTTGTTTGTGTCATTTTTTCACGGCTTTTTTTGCCTTTTTTCGATGATTTATCCCGTGTTTTGGCTTTTTAAATAGACTTTTTTGAGTCATTCTTTTTATCCATTTTTTGTCATTTTATAATTTTTTTGCCTTTTTTGTTGTTGTATTTTTATCATCCATTTTTTGCCTTTTGTTTTGCGCTTTGTCTCTTTTTGTCAACTAATTGTGTCGGCCTTTCGTTTGTTGCCTTTTTTATTTACTCTTTTTGTATTTTTTTCGCTTTTGGCGTGATTTTTTATTTTTTTTACTGTTTTATATTTTTTTATATATTTTTTTCTGTGACTTTGTTTCTGTCACATTTTTTAATTGCCTTTATTTTTCTATTTTTTCGTAGTTTTTTAACTACTTTTTTGTTGCGTTTTCTTTAATTTGCGTTTTTTAAGGTCGTTTTTTGTTGCATTTGTTTGTCTTTTTTTTGCTTTTTTGTCGCCCTTTTCTTTGTTGCATTGAAATTTCGCCTTCATTCCTTTTTGTCGTCTTTTTTTTTGTTTTTTGTCGCCTGTTTTTTAAACGCTTTGTTTATGTTTTATTTTTGTCGTCATTTTTTTGCATTTTTGTCTCTTTTGTCACTTTATTCTGTCACCCTTGCGTTTGTCGACTTTTTTGTTTACTCGTTTTTTGGTATTTTCAAGTCTTGTATGCTTTTTTTTGCCTTTATTTTTGTATTTTTGTTGCAACTGTCCCTTTTTTTGTCGCTTTTTAATCTCTTTCTTTGTTGTTTTTTTAGTTGCGTTTTTCTTGTGGTAAATTTTTGTTGTTGTGTTTTTTGTATTTTTTTGCCCTTTGTTTTTTTTGTAGCCCTTTTCTTTGTCGGATTTTGTCGTCTGTTTTTTAGACGCTTTTTTTATTGCTTCTTTGTCGTCTTTTTTGCCTTTTTTTTGCTTTTTGTACCATTTTGTCACTTCATTCTGTCGCCCTTTCTTTTTCGCATTTTTTGTTTCCGTTTTTTTTTGCTCCTTTTTTCGCTTGTGGATGTTTTTTGAAGTGTTTTGTTCCTTTTTGCACTTTTTTTACTTTTTTTAATCACTTTGTTTCTGTCACATTTCATGACTAGTGAAAAAGACCCCAGAAACAATAAGGACTATAAAAACAAGGACAAAGAAACGTGATTACAAAATCGAAAAAAAAATGGCAAAAAGCAGTTAAAAAACAAACAAAAAAAGCGACAAATAATAGGGCGACAAAAGACAAAAACCAAAAAAAAAAGATAAAAAAGGGCCACAAAAAAATTAACAAACAAAAAGATATAAAAGTGAGAAAAATACAAAAATAAAGATCTTATCTTTTACCTTTTTTTTGTTTTTTTTTAATCGCAGTTTTTGGTAATTTTTTGTTGTCCGTGTTTTTGAATTTTTTTGTTGCCATTGTCCCTTTTGTCGCTTTTTTTTTTAATTTTGCATTTTTTTGTCTCCATTTTGTTGTCTTTTTATTTACCCCATTTCTATGGCATTTTTTGTTTGCGCCTTTTTTTTTCACTTTTTGCTGCTTTTTGTCGCGTATTTTGTCTTTTTTGTAACCGTCTTTTTCCTCCATTTTTTGGTTGCCTTTGTCGTTTATTTTGTAATTTTTTAAGGCATCATTTGTCACTTTTTTGGTCCCATTTTTTGCAAATTTTTGTGCCCTTTTTTTTTTAGATTTTTGTGCGTTCTTTTAAAAGTTTTTACTTTAATCAGCCCTAACGATGTGTCTAAAAAATGCATGCGCATGTAATTTTTCCTTTGTAATTTTTTTTTTAAGTTTTTGGAAAATTTAAATTCAAATACGCCCCTGGCGCGAGATTTTACCTGTTACTGCGACATACAGCGCCATTTGAGGTCTTTAACTTCACAGGGAACAAAACTTCAATGAATACAAAAATAACGTTTTGAGTATACACCAACAAAAGTATATAACGAAATCCGTAACCATCAACTAACCAAGAACTTGTTACAATAAGAAAAACACCCGGTGTATAATTAACACAGTAACAACCTGTACAAAACGAACAAATCCTCCCACCCCCAGTCATATTTCGCCGATTCCGCAAAACAACCGCCCTAAATAAATCACCCCTTCGCCCTGCTTCCTCCAAGACATTACTTAAGCGAAAATATCCACAAGAGACCCAAACCAATATCCTCGACGACCTTAGGGCAATTTAATTACACGGATTACCCACATATTCACGTGTCCTACTTCCGTCCCATCGACTGTACCAAACAACAACAAACCCTTATACCGCCGCCTGTACACACGCGCGCAAACGCCGCCCCTATCGACTCGCCGCCGCCATCTTGATCCCCTTCGCCGAACCGCCGCCAGAGGGAACCAGCCCGGCGGATGCGCCGAAAACACCCCACTTAAAGTTTTAAAGACTTATTTTTGAAAGAAATTCGGATTAACGCCAACGGAAATCAGGAGGGCGCGAGGTCATACTTTTGATTTAGTTTTGGTTTTTTCCTTGCTTGTGTTGTTGTTGGTATTATTTGGTCTGCGCCGCCTTTTCCGAGAAGCAATTATTGTGTGTTTTCGGGGTAATTAAACTATTTTTGGGTAAGAGCTTAAACAAATATTAACGTGATTTAGGGTTGTTCCGCTTGATGGAAGCCCGAAGAGGTTAATATTTTATGGGGAAATTGTAGCAACTGCGATAATTATTTATCAACAAGTTGGCTGGCCGGCTCGGGGGCGGCTACTCGACTGTTACTACTCGGCCGATTAATTATTGAAAACTGTCATTCAAAACGCATTATGGTCGTATTTATTTCGGGCGGCGTCGATAATAAAGATAAATTTAAGTCGAGGGGTCTCGATATTTTGGGGGTCATTAGGGAAAGTCGATAATGGCGGAGGCGCCGGGAAAGTTTATGCGAATTGTTTTGTTTTGTATTTTTAGGAATTCTTAATTTGGGGGGAGGTTGCGGCCATGTAGGTGGCTCGGAATCGATTTAACAAAAATATATGCGTCGGGTGCGGCAATTAATGTTATGACACTAGTGCGGTAATGTAGCTCATCTGACTTAAACGAATTATAAGGTGGTAATGGAGTTAAAAAGGCTCGTATTCATTTAACTGAGTATTGCAACAACCCTTTTGCATTCAGTTTAGTCCTGTCAAAAGCATTTTCCGAAGATCCATAATTTCCAAGTCGAGAGTTTATAACTTGCAAGAAATTATATTAAGTGGAAAAAGTCCGCACTTATAACCTTTATCGGAACACCTGTGGATGCATAATGTGATATTCGCTTCACTTATTTCAGAAAAATTTATCGCTGGGTGACGTCAGGGACAGATTAAGCTTGTCGTCGACGATTATTATTTGAATTAGCCGCAATAACTGAGACTGACGGTTTAATGGACGGATGTTGTATGTGTTAATCAAGAGCGTCATGTGAACCGAAACTATAGTCGGTTTACTGAACAGATGGAGTGATGACGTGCGCTTCCACATATATGCGCATGAAGATGTAAAATGGGGTGGTTTTGCTTACACAGTGCTACGATTTTTATATTTATTTAGGGCTTTAGCAAGTTAGTGGATGATTTTCTTTGAGTGTGGAGTGCTTTGTCGTTTCAATCTGGCGCCATTTCCCCCTACTTGGTCATTGAACTCCCCACCCCAGCTCACCCTCGCGCGCACATCGATTCTCCGACCGTAGGTCCGTAATGTATGTCGCGTAGTCGGCCACAAGTCGCGATATTTCGCCATTTTTGTTAAATATGTGGGTACCAGCCCGACCCAGCCGCGTCTAGGCCGCCCAGCGAGCCTTCGGTGCAGCTCCCCGGAGGAATCCGGCCCGGAGCCCGCGATCCGCGCCGCCATCTCGGCCCCCGGCGCCTCCGCCACGGCTTTGTTTTGAGGGCGTCCATCGCCAGTGCTAAACCCAGTGCCCATGCCGGCCAGTGCCCGTCTCCCGCTAATCCATAGTGCGTTGGGTGCGTCGGCCGCTCTCGCGGAAATTTCAGCCCAGCGCCTTCGCCATTTTGTGCTCTAGGCGTATACAGCCGTGTTGACACAAATAACAACAGCTTGGGAGTGGGTTCTCGGAACTGGGTCGAAATTTCCGTGGTGCGAAAGCAGTGACCGGTTTATATCGTATGCATGGATAAGTGTGGGATTACGCCCGGCGGCCTGTAATGGACGGGGCCCTTCGCTCCTCTTGAAGTCAGTAGACGGTTTCGGGCCAGGGCCGGACTCGGCCTAACGCTGTTGTGTTGCAGGGCCGGAAGCGGGATCATGTGGTAGGCGGGGCTGGGGGGTGTAGCCCCCCTGTAGAACTGGCGCCGCCATCACGGATCACCACGGCGACCGTCACAGGTAAGATGGGGTAATTAATAAATATCGGCGGGATGGGGGGCACGTGGGGGGAAAGTCGTAAATATAGGACGTAACATATGTTCGGGGGCGCCCTCTGTGCTGCATCGGGTGGTTAATTACTGTTGTGGAAAGTGGAAAGTGTGGCGGAAAGACACGCAAAGACGCTTTCGGTGAGGACATATTTACACGGGGAGGGTATTTACAAAAAGGGATAAAAAGAGAGGCGGGGAGGTCAAGGTGATTGTAAACTTTTCTCTGTTGTCTGGTGGTGGTGAAAGGGACGAGTGGATCTTTCTGGAATTTTAATCCGAAAACTCTCGCTCTTGAAAATACCCAACAAAAGAAATTTACAGAGTAAATATAAACAAAATCAGAAGAAAAGGAGCTACAAATTCAACAAAAGGTTTTTAAATTTGTGAAATTGTCGAAAAATATTAGTAAGTGTTACGTTTTTGGTAGAGGTTTGGCACAGTTCCACGTCCGATCCAATCGAAGGTTGTTTATTAGGCCGGGTCAGCACAATGTCGTATAACATTTATTTATTGTTAATAAATTATCCCAACGTGTGCATGGAAGAAAAAAAAACGTTCGGATCCAGACGACGACGTTTAAAAAACATTGAAAAATTCGGAACTCGGACTAGACGTTTTATGCTTTGGAAAACAGAATTTTCGCGGAAAGATGATATATGAGAATTAACAAGATAAACAGTTTTTGTTCGTTTTTCCTTTCACAAGAATGTGCGGAGGCAGTCTAAACGTGCTCACTGCGCTCGTATTCTATGAAATAATAGAAAGCTTTTAAAATGCGAGCGCAGCGAGCACGGTCAGGTGTTATTAAAGAAATGTAGTCATTGGCGTCCCTGAGAAGCTAACTTATTAAGAAAAAAATTATCGTGATTAAAATATGAATTTAAAGATTGTTTGTGATAAGTGATCACCAATGTCTGTGAAAGTGAAACGTCCTGAACGTGCTCGCTGCGCTCGCATTTAAAACATTGATTTTTTGCTGCTAAAAACCTAATTTATTTTTCATTACTAAAAATTTGTGGCGTTTTTTCGTTTCGTTTATGAGGAAGAATTCGATTATGGTAATCTCGTGCGACAGTAAAAATTGTTAAGTATATTAATTTTGAGGTAATTATATGTGTGGCGCAGTGTTGCCAGATGTTTCTAATGAAATAAAAGAGTAAAAATACAAAATCTTGAGAAAACTATATAACTTAAGAAAAAAGCATAGATTAAGTCATCTGCTCCGATCTCAATTGTTACGAATTTTTCATTCGTTGTCAAAGCGGAGGGAGGAGCTTAATTGCAAAATCGACACTTTTTAGAAAAATTTACAAACTTAAACATGTTAAACATTGTGTTATGAAAACAAGAACGCATATTAAGAATAGCAAAGGCAAAATATATGCCCCGCCCACCCACCCTATCTCAATTCTGATGATTTTTTTATTCTTCGTTTAGCCGAGGGGCGGAGTTTAACTGCAAAATCCTTATTTTTCTACGAGAAATTACCATGTGACATATGTTCTTAAGTAATCATGTTGTTCAAAGAAAACTATATGTGTTAAATAAAAACAGCCAAAGATTAAGCCCCACCTATACCTATCCAGATATCAGAAGTTTTCATTCAAACCTGGGGGCGGAGCATAATTGCAAAATCCATAATTCTCTACAAAAAGTTAACATTTTAGACGTGGTTTAAGTTCCTAAGGTTAATAAAATCATCACAATTGGGGTGGGGTGGGTGGGCGGGGTTTATATTTTACCGTGTTTTTTTTTAATATGTACATTCTTCTTTGAACAACACGATACTCAAACACATGTTTTTAATTTCATGTAAAGAAATAAGTATTTGCAGTTAAGCCCCGCCCCCTTGGTTGACGGCCAATAAAAAAATCATCACAATTGCGATAGGGGGGTGGGCGGGTTTACATTTTGCCTCTTAGTTTTAATATTCTTTTCACAACATGAAACTTAAAACATGTTTAAAATGGAAAATTTGTGTAAGAAAATATCGATTTTGCAATTTTGCACAAAATATATCATTTTAATCATGTTTTAAGTTTCTTGTTGTGAAAAGATGGCGATGTATATTAAGAAAAAAGAGGCAAAATATAAGCCCCGCCCACCCGCCCTATCTCAATTCTGATGATTTTTTTATTCCTCGTTTAGCCGAGGCGAGGGGCGGCGTTTAACTGCAAAATTCTTATTTTTCTACAAGAAATTACCATGTGAAATATGTTCTTAAGTAATCATGTTGTTCAAAGAAAACTACATGTGTTAAGTAAAAAAGAGCCAAAGATTAAGCCCCACCTATACCTATCCAGGTATCAGAAGTTTTCATTCAAACCTGGGGGCGGAACATAATTGCAAAATCCATAAATCTCTACAAAAAGTTAACATTTTAGACGTGGTTTAAAATCCTAAGGTTAATAAAATCATCACAATTGAGATGGGGTGGGTGGGTGGGTGGTATATATATTTTTCCTTTTTTTTCTTAATATACATAATATTCTTTGAAAAACACGATACTCAAAAATATGTTTTTAATTTCTTGTATAAAGAAATAAGTATTTGCAGTTAAGCTCCGCCCCCTTGGTTGACGACGAATAAAAAAAATCATCACAATTGCGACAGGGTGGGTGGGCGGGCTCACATTTTGCCTTTTTGTTTTAACATGGTGTAGACTTCTTTTCACAATAAGAAACTAAAAATATGTTTAAAATGGAAAATTTGTATAAGGAAATATCGATTTAACAATTAGACTCCGTCCCATAATTGCAAAATCCATATTTCCTTGCCAAAAATGTATCATTTTCATCATGTTTTAAGTTTCTTGTTGTGAAAAGATGGTGATGTATATTAAGAAAAAAGAGGCAAAATATAAGCCCCGCCCACCCGCCCTATCTCAATTCTGATGATTTTTTTTATTCGTCGTTTAGCCGAGGGGCGGAGTTTAACTGCAAAATCTTTATTTTTCTACGAGAAATTACCATGTGAAATATGTTCTTAAGTAATCATGTTGTTCAAAGAAAACTACATGTGTTAAGTAGAAAAGAGCCAAAGATTAAGCCCCACCTATACCTATCCCGGTATCAGAAGTTTTCATTCAAACCTGGGGGCGGAGCATAATTGCAAAATCCATAATTCTCTACAAAAAGTTAACATTTTAGACGTGGTTTAAGTTCCTATGTTTAATAAAATCATCACAATTGAGATGGGGTGGGTGGGTGGTATATATATTTTTCCTTTTTTTTTTCTTAATATACATAATATTCTTTGAAAACATGATACTCAAAAATATGTTTTTAATTTCTTGTATAAAGAAAGAAGTATTTGCAGTTAAGCTCCGCCCCCTTGGTTGACGACGAATAAAAAAAATCATCACAATTGCGACAGGGTGGGTGGGCGGGCTCACATTTTGCCTTTTTGTTTTAACATGGTGTAGACTTCTTTTCACAACAAGAAACTTAAAATATGTTTAAAATGGAAAATTTGTATAAAGAAATATCGATTTAACAATTAGACTCCGTCCCATAATTGCAAAATCCATATTTCCTTGCAAAAATGTATCATTTTAATCATGTTTTAAGTTTCTTGTTGTGAAAAGATGGCGATGTATATTAAGAAAAAAAAGGCACATAATAAGCCCCACCCAAAGATTAGGCCCCACACATACCCGCCCCAATCTAAATTCTCAATTGTGATGAATTTTCCATTTGTTGTCAGATCGAAGGGCGGGGCTTAATTGCAAGAGCCATATTTATCTACAGGAATTTACCATTTTAAGCATGTTTTAAGTTTTAAGGCAAAATATAAGCCCCGCCCACCCACCCTATCTCATTTCTGATGATATTTTTTATTCGACATGAGCCGAGGGGCGGAGCTTAATTATTAAATCCTTACTTTTCTACGAAAAATTACCATGTGAAATATGTTCTTTAGTAATCATGTTGTTCAAACAAAACTGTATGTGTTAAGTAAAAAAAAGACAGAGATTAAGTCCCACCTATACCCACCCCGGCATCAATTGTGAATAATTTTTCATTCAAACCCGGGGGCGGAGTATAATTGCAAAATTAATATTTTTCTACAGAAATTTATCATTTTAAACGTGTTTTAAGTTCCTAAGAGTAAAAAAATGATCACAATTGAGGTGGGGTGGGTGGGCGGGGTTAATATTTTGCCTTTTTTTTCTTAATATAAACATAGTATTCTTTGACAAACGTGATACTAAAAATCATGTTATTAATTTCATGTAAAGAAATAAGTACTTGCAGATAAGCTCCGCCCCCTTGGTTGACGATTAATAAAAAAATCATCACAATTGAGATAGGGCGGGTGGGCGGGCTTTGCATTTTGTCTTTTTGTTTTAATATGTGAAGACTTCTTTTCACAACATGAAACTTAAAACATATTTAAAATGGAAAATTTGTATAAGGAAATAATCGATTTTGCGATTAGGCTGCGACCTATAATTGCAAAATTAATATTTCATGTATCATTTTAATCATGTTTTAAGTTTCTTGTTGTGAAAAGATGGCCATGTATAGTAAGAAAAAAAAGGCAAAATATAAGCCCCGCCCACCCGCCCTATCTCAATTCTGACGATTTTTTTTATTGGTCGTGAGCCGAGACGCGGAGCTTAATTGTCAAATCCTTATTTTTCTACGAGAAATTACCATGTGAAAGGAATCATCTTGTTCAAAGAAAACTATATGTGTTAAGTAAAAGAAGCCAAAGATTAAGCCCCACCTATACCTACCCCGGTTTCAATTGTGATGAATTTTCCACTCGTTGTTGGACCCGGGGCGGAGCCTAATTGCAAAAGCCATATTTCCATACAAAAATGCACCATTTCAAACGTATTTTAAGTTCCTAAGAATAAAAAAATCATCACAATTGAGAAGGGGTGGGTGGGAGGGGTTAATATTTTACATTTTTTCTTGACATTCGTTGTATTCTTTGAACAAAACGATACTCAAAAACATG